TGGCTGCAGGCAGGGGTGGTGGTTCCACTGGGGCTGACCTTTCTTTTTCTTTCCCTTCCTTCTCAGATAATTGATGCCACCCAGAAAGGCAACTGCTCGAGGTTCATGAACCACAGCTGTGAACCCAACTGTGAGACTCAGAAGGTAAAAGTGGCTGGTGAAAGCTGCCAGCTTCTCACTTCCTCTGCCTCGTGGCTGGGCAGCCTCAGGGGAGGAGCGATTCTCCTTTAGATCCCTTCACTTGAGGGTTGTTTTTTTTTGGGGGGTGGTTGTTGGAACTCGGTAAAACAGAGACAACCCCCTTGGCAATGGGGGAGTGCTGCCACATATTCCACATTTCTCAGTGATGAGCTTGAAGGATTCATCTATTAACTGAAAGCAAAGGCAGAGTTGAAGCCTGGCTGGTGGACTAACCCTGCTCTTGCTTTTTTCCCCTGCTGCAGTGGACGGTGAACGGGCAGCTCAGAGTTGGGTTTTTCACCACCAAGCTGGTGCCGTCGGGCTCAGAGCTGACCTTTGACTACCAGTTCCAGAGATACGGGTAGGTGTGAGCTCTCCCTGCCCCAGCTGCTGCTCCTGGGCCTTCCTGGCAGCCCTGCTCTGAGCAAAACCACAGCCCAGCCTCATCGAACAGTTCCACCATGGAACAACCTTCCTGGATAATCCGTTTCTGACAGGAGACTGGGAGAGGAATTTCCCATTGAGTTAAAAAGTCTTTTCCAGTGTTGCTTTATAACCTTTTTTGTTCCACTTCAAACCATCTCTGCCCAGTAGACATTTCCCAGATAATTATCTTGGCTGTTTCCTGTCTAATTATTAATTACCCAAGCTCCAGACTTCGCAATACCCTTCGGTAGTGGCTGCTCCTCCCCTCCCACCCCTGTTTTATGACTTTGCAGATAGTTGCAGAGCTGTGGAAGCCCTGCAGGGAGCACGTTGCCTCTTCCTGGCAAGCCCCAGGAGGGCTGGTGTGCAGGCTCCAGCCTGGCTTTTGCCTCCCTTCTCCAAACCCAAGCCTCAGAGTTTTATTTCACTGCTTCTCCGGGTCTGTGACAAAGCATTTCACTCTCTTCAATGTGATGAGCACAAAAAAGCATCTGACAGGCTAGAAACAACATCTAATTAGGAGATTAGCTGGAGATCCATTTTGTAATCCCTGCTTTAGTTAGTGAATGCAGGGTTTTGTTGTTAAGGAGCTTCCTTTTCCTTTTGGATCCAGCCTTATGCAACACTTTCTAGATGCAAAAGGATCAGAAATTAATTTTTAGTTGCATAAAGGTCCTGCCCTTGGGTCACAGCAACCCCCTGCAAGGCTCCAGGCTGGGGCAGAGGGGCTGGAAAGGGCCCCAGGGAAAGGCCCTGGGGGGGCTGGGGGGCAGCTGGGTGGGGACGCGGCGGACCC